AGATTTAAATTATTGGCGCTCCAAATGAAACTCCTGACGAAGAATAGCTCGTCGCCAATGTTTATTTTCAGGAATTCTCTTTCGCAAAAAAAAATTTTCCCTGGATACTTTATGAATTCATACTCGATTTTCGAAGTTTTCTGATCAAAAGAAAAGGCAATCCATTGGTTTCGGTGAAAATTTCGGAATTAGCGTCAAAATTTAAAAAGCTTTTGCTGAAGTTCTAAGATTTTTTCATGGTTCTTGAAAGATGAACGGTCTCTCAGGTGTATGCAGTACTGATGAAAGTAACACCGAATAATGAAGCTGAAAGGCAGTGAAACTAATCACTCAACACTGAAAAATATCTCAACACTTTTGATACTCACCTCCTTACTCACTCCTGGTGACATCACATCAGGGTACCCATCATAGATCGGCAGTGTCAACAAGGGTATCTCACATTGACTACCCGCGTCCGAAGACATCTGCGTGTATCGATGGTTAATAGTTACTAGCTGTAAACGTCTTTGCATGAAATTGAGCCTCTGGTAGACTGCTCTGATCCTAAAACTGAGCGAGTAGTGCAATATAGACTGCATATATATATATAACGTACAGAGATTGAAATGCCCCCTCCCTTCCCCCCATAAGGGAGGAAGGGAGGGGGCATTTTTTAAGCATTTTTCATATTCGGCCGTGTCTGTCCCGAACGTATCAGGTACCGAATACGCGCGCCCCACGATCGCCCCAAGCTCGACGAGTAATTTCACAAGATTCCATTTCGGCACTTATTTCGCTACGGCAACCGGAACCTGAAGCGGACATAGAGCTTCTAATTTACCCTGCCATTAGAACTTGGGGCGTCCGTGTGCCAGCGGCTGACAGGTCTTCGAATTTCGATAGGGTATGCATCATGGCACCCTCTCTAACAACATCTATTTTGTTATTGGTCATTTCTGAATCATTTACATGAACATCTGATACTTTAACGATTCCCTCGTTGACATAAATCTTGCTTGCGACATCATTATCATAAATTGGACACGAGATATTTTCAAGTCTCCAATTATTTGGATACAATTTTTTCAGCGTCGAGGAATCGAAAGCCAATGCCTGGAGGTCCTCTTAGCTGTGATATGGCTGTGCCATTGATTCTGGTTCCAAATATATCAACACTAGTCATTTTAATAAAGAAAAATTTCAAAAGCCTGCAGACCCTCCCGCACTCGAGAAGCTACGAGATTATTTATACGACGTGTTAATATTCTGTTCAGTTTTATGTTTTTATCAGTTTCATTTTGTAACCTCAATTTAGGTTGATAAATTCCTTTCTGATTCTCTAGAAAACTCATGAAATGTTTTAATATCCTTCAATTCATTAATAATATACCCAATTTTTGTCATCAAAACTGACTCCGCTCGTAAGTCCATGATTTGTTCTGCTATGTTAATGTATTTCGCATCATATAAACTAAGTTTGATTTTAAGCTTTTGAATTTCTGATCAACTTTTGGGAAAGTTACTTTCCCATCAATTTGTAACACTAGTTTATGAATCCGCAATTCGGAAGTTTTAAGTTTTTCATTTATTAAATCTTCAAACGCCAACTATACTCTATGTATCTCCTTGTCAGCTTCAATATTTACTTTCAAATATTCTTCAATATGTAATTCCGAATTCTCGATTTTATCATCGAGCGCTAACTGCACACTATTCATTTTCTCGTCAAATTGTTTCATTAGTTTTTCTTCCATATGTAATTCCAAATTCATGAATTTATCATCGATATCTGACTGCAAACGGCTAATTTTCTCATCAAATTGTTTAATTAGCGTCTGTTCAGAAAAAACGGTCTTGGACTCTGAAATTATTGTTAATAAAAAATGAGAATGGAAGTAATCATGTCTTAATGAAAGCTTGTAGTCCATTTATTCAAAAGGCATGCCATAGAACTAAATATGTATGTCCATACTGTCTGCATGCATTTATACGCGCAAACCTACTTGAAAAATGTAAATATGATTGCTCTGTTCACACACCCGTCATATATGTTTGTATTGATGAAAAACTACAATTCAAGGCCTTTCAAAATGGACTATCGACCATCCCTTTGCAATTTATGCTGATTTTGTATCGCCTTTAGCAAGTATTGTTTCATGTCAAAAAGACTCCAATCGAATTATACGCGAAATATTCAAAAGCACGAGTCTATTAGTTTCTGTTGCATACTAAATTCGAAGATGATAGGTATTCAAATTTGGAATTATATAATGATAAAGATGAGTGGCTCGGAAATTTGTAAAATATCTAGAAGCAGAAACAAAAGGCGTACATGAATTTTGAATCAATATCCAAAAAGGATATTGTCAGCTGAAAAATACCAAGAACACAGAAATGCTACAGATTGTTATGTCTACCATGAAAAGTTTACCAAAGAAAACAATAAGGTTAGAGATCACAACCACCTAACGGTAAACTAAAGAGGTTCAGCGCATCTTGATTGTAATTTCAAAATTAGAAATCCTAATTTTATTCAAGTATTCATGCATAACTTTCCAATTTTGATTCACGTCTGTTTATTAAAGTACTAGGCTAAGTGTCCGGAAAAATAAATATGGTATACCCTAAACTGATCAAAAAAATAAGTTTAACACAAGATATCAAAGTCGGAACATATATAGATAAAATCACTGCAAAAGAGCGAGATGTAATAAGAGAATTAAGATTTATGGACACCTTTAGATTCATGTCTTCATGGTTAGCTGCATTATCACAAAATTTGCCAGAGCGTGCGCACAGTTTAAATTGATATAAACAAATGTATATCTCAAAACGATTACAAGGACACCTATGATAAAATAAATTCAATAGGTTTACCAACTATGGAAGAATTCAATTAAGGGGAGGTCTACCCTCCGTAAAAACATTTTTGTTTACGGACGGATCACTCTAAAACTTGGTACACATATGTAAAACAAAATTCTAAGAAATTTTTGTTCGTGTGATTTTTTGGAAAAATTGATAAAAAACGTGAAATTCATAGAAAACGAACAAAAAACGGGGTACTGTAGAAATCTATCTCCTCCTAGGGTTTTGAAGCTACAGCGATGAGACATATACCATTCTATTCGTAAAGACCAGAACAATCGAGTAATGAAGCCCGATTTTTTGTGATGCCAGATACACCAATATATGTAGTCTTAGCGAGTGAATTAAGGCCTATCTATTTTCTGAAATCCACCAACCCCCCGCCCCCCTTTGAAGCGCAGCCGTGTGCGTACAAATTCACTTACAGCAATCGCAGTAGTATCGTTGAAAAGCTCAGAATGTCAGCCTTAAAATGAAAGATAAGACTAAGCATGTAACTGCAGCACAACTCAAGTAGAAACTATGTTTAAAATGCTCAGCAGCTAATTATCTTGTATCTAATTACTGAAGGAACTCCCCCACCCGCCTCCCTTTAAAAAGCCGTCATGTAAGTAAAACTTCACGTATAGGGATCGCAGTGGTATCATTGGATAGGGCAGAATGTCAGCTTTAAGATGAGACTAAAAACCGAAAATGCCATATCCGAAAATTTTAGGCTAGACCTCCCCCTTAAAAAAGTAGATGATAAACATTTATCTGACAAAGAATATGAACACGCTAAAGAGATTTGAGATGTATTCCTATGCAAAACATTCAGATATTATCATAATCTCTACCTCAAAGTTGATACCAGATACCTAGTTAGTAAGTGAAGTGTTTGAGAACTTTCGAGATACCTGTTTGAAAACATAAATTGGTTCTAGCTCATAATTTCACAGCTATGGGCCTATCATTTGATGCTGTATTAAAATAACTGAGATAGACTTGCTAAACGGTCATCTTATGATCGTTTCAGCCTATTCATTGAGAAGAGTGTTAAGGTGGTGTTTCAATGATATGTACAAGATATGCTAAAGCAAATAAAAAATGAATTCCTGAAAGTTATGACCCTCAAAAACCGAGTAACTATATGCCATGCATAGATGCAAATAATTTATAGGGCTAGACAATGTCACAGAGCCTACAGTGTCGCAAAAAACTTTAGATGATTGAAAGAAAATGAACCATTCAATATCTAAACAAATAATGCGACAACAAGCAAAATCAGATTTTGATAAAGATTTATTCAAGCTAATGAATAATTCTGCATTCGAGAAAACAATGGACACCATTAGAAACCGAGTCGAAGTTAATCTGGTTAAGACTATAAAAGAATTGAGATGAGGTAATAATCATAATTTTATAGGGTTTAAAATATTCTCAGAAAATCCAAAAGGCGGTCACATGCAGAAACAAAATCTAAATTTTGATAAACCAATCTGTGTAGGTACTAACATTCTAGATATAATCTAAACATTGATGTATGCCTTTGATTACAACTTCATGAGGGAAAAATTTTGTGATGGAGCAAAGTTATTGTTCACCGATACCGACCCACTCTGTCATGATATCCAAGCCAACAACTTCTATTAAGATATTAGAAAAAATCAAACTTATTTGACACATCGAATTATCCTATAAATCATTTCCTATACCCACATCATAAGAAAAAAGTAATCGGTAGAATGAAGGATAAATTTGGCGGACTGCCTATAGAAGAATTTGTAGGTCTTCGAGCAAAGCTGTATTGTTATCGAACAAAATGTTCTGCAGCTAAGAGAGCTAAAGGTATGAAGAGAAATATACCGGGAATACTGCCATGGATGAATATAAGAGAACATTTAATAATGAGACTATATATAAAACAATGTTTAACATCTAAAGTGATAACCATGAATTATATACAGAGGAGATAAATAAGATTACACTGAATGGCGACGATATTAAAAGACATATACAGTGGGGAGATTAAGTATTTAGTCAGTCACTAATTGTGCAAGTTCTCCCACTTAAAATGACGAGAGAGGCCTGCAATTGACATCATAGGAAGACCTCAACTATGAGAGACAAAATGTGGAAAAAAATTTGAGAAAATAATTTTGTCTGACTTTTAAAGATGTTATTTGCAAATAATGGTGGGAAATAAGTATTTGGTCAATAACAAAAGTGCATCTCAAAACTTTATCGTATATCCTTTGTTGGCAATGACAGAGGTCAAACGTTTTCTGTAAGTCTTTGCAAGGTTGTTATACACTGTTGTTGGCCTGTTGGCCCATTCCTCCATGCAGTTCTCCTCTAGAGCAGTGATGTTTTTGGGCTGTCTTCGAGCAATACGAACTTTCAACTCCCTCCCAAAGGTTTTCAATGGTGTTAAGACCGGGAGACTGATTAGGTCACTCCAGGACTTAGAAATGTTTCTAACGAAGCCACACCTTTGTTGTCCTGGCAGTGTGCTTGGAATCATTGTCATGCTGAAAGACCCAGCCACGTTTCATCTCCATTGCCCTTGCTGATGGAAGGAGGTTTGCACCCAAAATCCCACGATACATGGCCGCATTTAATCTTTCCTGTACACTGACCAGCCGTCCTGGTCCCTTTACAGAAATAGAACCCAAAAGCATGTTGCCACCCCCATGCTTCACAGTTGGTATGATGTTTTATGGATGAAACTCCGCACCCACTTCCCTCCAAACACGACGAGTTGTGTTTTTGCCAAACAGTCCTACTATGGTTCCATCTGACCATATGACATTCTCCCAATACTACTCTTCTGGAACATCCAACTGTTCTCTAGCAAACTTCAAACGTGCCTGGATATGGACTAGCTTAAGCTGGGGGACACGACTGGCACTGCAAGATCTTAGTCCCTGGCGCCGTAGTGTGTTGCTGATGGTAGCCTTTGTAACGTTGGTCCCAGGTTTCTGTAGGTCATTCACTAGATCCCCTCGTGGTTCTGGGATTTTTCCTCACCGTTCTTGTGATCATTTTGACCCCACGGGCTGAGATCTCGCGGGGAGACCCAGATCGAGGGAGATTAGCAGTGGTCTTGTAGGTCTTCCATTTTCTGATTATTGCTCCCACAGTAGATTTCTCCACACCAAGCTGCTTGCCCCTTGCAGATTCTGACCCTAGTGCAGGTATATAATTTGGTTTCTGGTGTCCTCCAACAGCTCTTTCGTCTTCACCATAATGGAGCTTCGAGTGTGACTGTTTGAGGTTGTGGGCAGGTGTCTTTTATACAGTTAACGACTTCAAAGAGGTTCCATTAAAACAGGTAATGAATGGGGGAATGCGAGTCACTTAGTATAGTATAGTATAGTATCTTCGGCATTAAAAAGTAGGCCTGGATAGGCCTGTCGCCTATTCTTGTGCTTTTCTTGACTAGACTGGCCTTTTGATCAGATCTTTTCAACGGACGGTAGATTTAACAGAGCAGGCGTTGGGCAGGTTTGAGCAGGCGGTGCTCAGTAAGGGCTGCGTGACGGCAGGACAGAGCACACCTAGGCAGGTACTCAGAGGTGAACTAGCGCTGCTACGCGGCGGGCGATATCGTCTCTAATGCGGACATTTCTGCTCTATCGCGGCTCTGTCGCGTCCCTACGTCGGCTCTGCTGCCGGCGACGGCCTGCTCTATTCCCTGCCCTAAATTTTAACTGGGTATGCACAAGATCAATTTCCAGTTTCTCAATTAAATACTAATTTATAAAAATACACAGTTAAAATTAAATCCATTCCTGGGATTGATGAGCCGTACGAAACGTCAACGCAGATTCTTCGCTGCTGTAAAAGGTTTGCTCGTATTTACATTATTCGAAGAAACTAGATAATCGCGATTTTTCGTTAGCCTTTCAAAAAAAAACGAATTTTTAAAATATTTGTTCCCAAACTATGGAAAGCGGGGAGATTCCAGGAGAAAATTTGGGTGGAGAAATGTTGCAACTTGTGTAGGTTAGGCCAGAAGAGATTTGGCCAGATACACTATGGCCATGCTTACCTTTTTGTGGTTGTGGACATTCAGCGCTATGGCTTTGAGCACTTGACGACTTCATAGGCTTCTATATGCCCTCTAGCGTTCTTACCTGCGGAAAGAAATATGAACTAAGTGTGAAGTTTGACAAAGCTGGACTCCTGCATGCGCCCCGAGTCATCAATGTAATCAAGGAGGCTGTTCCACATGTCGGAGTCTCGACGCGTGAATAAATGTTGTCGCGTCGATGAGTTGCAACGCAGTTTATTCAATTTATAGCCGAGGGGGTGCAGCCGTAGGCCACAACTTTTACTCCATATTAAGCCCTGGAGCCAACGCCCAGTTTCACCATACATTACCTTTACTCAGCCTCAGAGCTAGAAGCCGCAGAATACGCTTGAACTCCGTAATCCAGACAAGCGACACACTGCCGAAATATAATAGCGCCGTAGGTTGTCAGCCAATGCTCAAGCATACTCGCTCATAAGCAGGCAGTTCCTCATCTGACTGGACCTACTCCGGCCAAACCTCTTCTGGCCAAACCTATTCGCGCTGTCCCGGCTCGCAACCTTCTTTCCGGCAAGAATTATGGGCGGTCCAGCACACTTGGACCGCCAATCTAACTTTCTGCAGCTAATGCTTTGGTTAGGCCCGCTTAGGTTTGAGGTTTGTTTTAGGTGAAGAAATGTTGCAACTTGTGTAGGTTAGGCCGAAAGATGTTTGGCCAGATGCAGTATGGCCATGCTTACCTTTAGCAAGCTTATTTTGTGGCTGTGGACATCGGACGCTATGGCTTGGAGCACTTGATTCCTAGGCTGTTATGCCCTATAGCGTTTTTAACTACGGAAAGAAATATGAACTAAGTGCGAAATTCGGCAAAGCTGGCTGCGGCATGCGCCCCATAGCCGAGGCCCCTGGTAGTGGCTTTTGTTGCAAATTCTAGGAATCCTTCTGACACTTTTTTCCTGCCTAACACATCATAACGTTTACTGCCTTACACTGTATACCTGGCAATGATACAAGTTACCACACGCCTCCATCATAATACCAGTAACATACTATTACATTCGAATCGAACATTTACTTGATTCTCTTATATTAGGGCAAGAAAAAAAAAGAAAAGCAATTACGTAAGTATGTAAGAAAGTAAATGTTCGCATACTTACGCACGCACGCACACGAACGGGCACCGACTGCTTCTGGCATATATTTAGTTATGCAGGTTCAGAAAACCTCGCCCAGGAACTTCTGGGAACCTTTTGTCCACTGCCTTCCGCCGTGGGCTTGAAGGACAGCCTCTGGGCAATTTATAGGCTTGGTAGGCTTGGCCAAGCCCACAACTTGCCATACTGTCAGGAGACTACAATGTCGGCAAGGTAACTGGCTAGTCGCTGATTGCGATCGAGTGGCCAAGCAGACCCAGAATAACCTGAACCCAACTATAATGAGTTTGCAGAAGAGTCATGAGCATACCTTAAATTTTTTTAGGGTCAAGTCGCCCTCCGTCTTCACCAGGACGACGGTGGTGGTGGTGTGCGTGGCCTCCTCCTGCCTCTTCTCCTTGACGCTTGCCTCGATGCCGTTGTTGAACACCCAGCGTCGGTCCAGAGGCAGGTAAGGGACACACTGAAAACATCATTAATATTGTGATTTTCTTTAATCTGACCATGACATTCTGCACTGTATGCAATACTGGGTTGTTGAAACTTGACTTGCAAGAGTTATTTAACACTGTGGTTAGACTGGCAAAATTGATTAAATAAGAAAAACTCTTCAATTTGGCATTGACATTCCGCACTGGTATTAAACATTGAATTGTTGACACTTGACATGCGGGATTTATTTAATATTATATATTTAGATCATAGACCTAAGGTATTTTACATTGCATTAAACAGATAAAAGTTCAATACCGGGGTTACAAGTCAAAAATATTTAATTTTTTTAAAATCAGGTTAAACTTTTCGCAAGTCTTACGCCCATTTGGTTGTTTCCGAGATTTCTGTCGTCCGCTGACAGCCTGACGATGATGGACACCTGATGCTCCCACACCATCGACCAGAAGAGATCGTCATCGTCAGTCGTTTGCTGCGGGTCTTGAGTTGCTATGAAGCCGCCATCCTGAAGTTCAGGTGCATAGTTATTAAGTCAAATTCATTTACCAAGTGGAATGTCGCTCCAGAAACACAAACTTAAAAAGTTTCCTCCATAGCACAGAAGTATTAAGATATTCTTAATTTTTTTATTGATTCAATCAGTGCAAGAAAATATTAGGCTAGAATTCTCAGTGCATTTTCAAGATGATAAATTCGTTTTCTTGCATTACGCTTACATCAATTAATTGTAGCATAATCAACCGAATATTCAATTCAGTGCTCACCACGCGCTGATGATGGAACTGGTTTACTCGACGACTTTCATTTACATCCTTTTTAGGATTTCGTTTAGTTTTTAATTGCGAACTTCATTTTGAATAGAAGTAAAATCAAATGATCCACACGCGCAACATTATTCGAGGTTCTCAGTACCACAAAAAAATTATAAGCGAGCTATGTATAGGACGTGCGGATTTTTGCAAAATCTGTCCTTACTATTTAAAAAAGTGTGTCAGTATGTCTACTTTTTAATAAAGTATATACATGAAGCATATCTTCGAACTGATAATTTTAAATTAATAGCGACAATGTTTCAGGGTAGAAAATGTGTCTTATTATCTTATAATTCTCACGAGTTAACAATAAAAATTAAAGCGAGGTGCAATGCCTAGAACAACTCTGAAATTTATCGGGCTTTATGTATCCTAAGGATCACAACATTTTAATAATACGGTTAAACTCACATGGAAGAACATCTGCGTAGCGGTTTTGGAACTTGTTGCAGGGTTTCGAAGCTTCGGTAGTTTCCTTCGTGGGCTTGGGAAGTCTGTTATATTCGTCACTGATCTGCGCAGACATGAATCAGATTTAAGTTATTGGCGCTCCAATTGAAACTCTTGACAAAGAATAGCTCGTCGCCCATGTTTTTGAAATTTTTTATCTAAGTTTATTTGAAGTTTTAGATGTTTGAAGTTTTTGATCGAAAGTAAAGGCAATCCATGGGTTTCTGTGAAAATATCGGAATTAGCGTCAAAAATTGAAAAGCTTTAGCTGAAATTCTAAGATTTTTTCATGGTTCTTGAAGGATGAACGGTCTCTCAAGTGTATGTAGAACTGATGCAAGTAAGACCGAATAATGTTGCTGAAAAGCAGTGAAAATACTCACTCAACACTCAAGAATATCTCAAAACTTGTGATACTCACCTCCTTACTCACTCCTGGCAACATCACATCAGAGTACTCATCATAGATCGGCGGTAGCTGGGGTGGAGGGGTCAACAAGGGTTTCTCATATTGACTACTCGCGTCCGAAGACATCTGCGTGTATCGGTGGTCAGCTAGTGGGATATTGCCTGCCTGGTCTCTTTCAATTTTATTAGATGGTGATTCAATATCTTTTGCCGGTGCCTCCTTGCAGCAAGACGCGCCAATTTGGCGTCTGAAGTAAATTAGAAGACCCAAGACGATGAGTAACAAAGAGATGCCCACTAGCGCCCCCACGATCAACCCGATGTTTGGCTCTGTCATGAGATAATATAAATTTATTTAAGAAATATTAATTTTTCACGGGCATTTAGAAAAAATATTCGTAGAATATACTAAATTGCGAATTCGTTGTGGCTGACATTCTATTAATACGAAAGACAGTAGAAACTCTGAACTGACTGATAATCTCGATATTGAAGCGTCGTCCGAAGATTGGGAGACAGTCTTTAATGAACTGAAATTAATTCCAGCTGTTCTGACGCTAATTCCAATTAATACATCAAAGCCTTTTTTGTATCATCATCTTCGTATATTGATAATCCTGATCCAACATATCAGTTCGGCTTCAATCTTCTCGGCACATAGCATGCCCACGATCAACCCGATGTTTGGCTCTGTCATGAGATAATATAAATTTATTTAAGAAATATTAATTTTTCACGGGCATTTAAAAAAAATATATTCGTAGAATATACTAAATTGTGCATTCGTTGTGGCTGACATTCTATTAATACGAAAGACAGTAGAAACTCTGAACTGGCAGATAATGTCGATATTGAAGCGTCATCCGAAGATTGACAGTCTTTCTTGAACTGAAATTTATTCCAGCTGTTCTGACGATAATTCCAATTAATACATCAAAACTTCTTTTTTATTCTCATCAGCTTCGTATATTGATAGTCCTGATCCAACATATCATTTCAGCTTCAATCTTCTCGGCACGTCCCGTTGATATTCTCTCATCTTTATTCAGCACAAAACAGTTTTTTGAGTGGGGTTAGGTGGTGGAAAGTGTGTCAAGCAAAGCATTACAGTGCAAATGTGGGTCAAGCCACCTTACTACAAAAACCATTTCTACGAAACTCGTGTTAGTTGCGTCCCATATAGGGACAAGTCCTGCAGTGGTTTGTGAACACTTTCTTCCAATGTCCACACTTTCTTGCGACGAAGCTGTCAGTAATTCATGACTAAAAATTTCCAGTTTTTATGTTTTGAATTTATTATAATCTTAAATTTTCAGGAAATGTAAACACTTAATTTTGCTTCATCACATAAGAGAGTAATGTATTAGGTGCATAAATGAAATCATTTAATTTTAAAGAAAGGATTCGCTGACTGAAACGTACTAATTGAAAAACTTACTGATTCCTGGAACGAGAATGTAAGTGAGAAATTTTTGGTTGCCGATTATTAGAATTATTTGAAGGTTTGTTAGGTGTTGTTGTTCAAGTTCTTTCTGAAATTGTCATCTGTTGTCCAGGGTAAGGAAATGTCCGCATCAATAAGGAGATCATAACCACCATATAATAATCTACCCGCTGAGCTCATTTTGATATTTTATTGATCGAGCATCTCATGGGTTGATTTATTCAGAAGACGTCTGTTTTCCTCATAAATATCTCATAACATCTGGAATTTGTTTTTCTTTTTTGGACTATTAGTTTCATCTAAGCGTGTTGAGTGAAAACATTCTGTGTCTTGGAATTTAAGGATTGACGTCTACAGTGTGGCCATGAAAACGTCGCTGTAATATTATTAATAACTTCCCTACTCACCCTCTTCCCCACTCACCCTCTTCCCCACTCACCCTCTTCCCCACTCACCCTCTTCCCCACTCACCCTCTTCCCCACTCACCATCTTCCAGCGTTACACAATAGGTTGGCAGTGAAGGCTCCCCCTTCCCAGCTGCAGTCGCCGCCACAACAGAGAAGGAGTAGTTGCTGTACGGCGTCAAACCAGCGATATTTATCGTCGTAGTCTCGGAATATGCAGAATTAACCTCCAAGGTTGCGTGGTTTCCCCACATGATCTGACCGCCGTACACAACGGTGTAGTTGACGACCTCGCATTTAGTGGCAGGTTTAATCCACGTCAGGGTGACGCTACGACTTGCCACGGACGATACTTCAGGGGGTGATCCCGCTGGCGGTACTAGGTGTAGGAAATCAAGGAAACGTCAACACTTCTCCCAAACTGCTAACCTTCCATCTTGTGTGTATTTTTAATTGTCAAACTATGAAAGACGAAATATCATGATAATTTTCAGTTATTTACTATTCTCCCTTTATTATAAATATAAATTAAGGCTGTTTGTTTCAAGATATTCACCCCAGCTTGTTGAAGATAAATAACTAAATTTCAAATTATATGTATATTTAATTATGACATGGACAAAATAATTTGGTATTCCATGACTTCTGCTACTGCTTTTGTAAGTGTTTACTCTTCAGTTTCAACTCGATGATAAAATGCAGGCTCCGCTCACCATCCAGCAGGGTGTAGGTTGCTGCGGACGCTGGGGTGCCAGTGTTGATCTGAGCGCTCCTACCAAATGTCCTGGGCTGCACCGTGACGTTGTAGAGAGTGCAACTATCTAAGGTCGGGTATACATCACAGGCCGAGGTGCTGGTAGCGGACGAGTTAACGTAACACCATGCAGCACTGAAGCTACTTCCATTAGGTATCCATGATACCCGGTACCTAAAAACTTCACCAGTTGGCTCCTGCAGCTCCCACGTCGCGTCGATCATCGTCACGTTTGGGAAAAGCTTCAGTTGGCTCACCACGTCTGGTTTGAAAGGTGTTAAGGAATTTAAACGGCTCTGAAATTCAGAGGTGGCATGAAGCTGTTCAATCAACGATCCCGAATTTTTAATTTCTCCCATATTCATATTCTGTGTCCTCGCAATGATGTATAAGCTAGTGATAATGCCTAAATTTTACCTATAACAAATTTGTTCACAGTGTCTCAATATGATCATGATCTAGCTGGAGTAATATTTGTCTGTATGAGCGACTGATGAAGAANACCTTTAACAAATTTGTTCAAGGTGTCGCAATATGATAAGTGATCTGGCTGGAATAAAATTTTTCAGTATGAACGACTGATGATGAACTATTTCCAGCTTTATATCATTGAATTCATATTAATGATCGGCAATGTATTAAAATAATAGCATGAATTACGATACGCACCTTTTGCCGCCCGTACCGTCTGGATCTGCACAAGGAGGAGGAATGTCCTCAATGAGCAGTGCTTTGCGAATGGCAACATGGAGAAGTTTCAGCGAAAATTCTTCTTAGAAATAGAATTACTTCTAATGCAAAGTGTACGATGTTCTTGTTTTGCAAATTATGCAAACAGTTTCACATGAAACTAATTTGAACATTCATTTTTTTGATGTCAGAAATTTTTCAAATAATGTTCATTCAAGAAGCACAAAGCAGTTAGGTCTTCAGGGACAATGAAATGCAGGAACTATGAAACATATTTAAAGAGTACTTCATACAACTCAATTATCTATATTTATAAACCAACGCTATGCTGACCTGGAGAGTGGAGGACAATAGCAGGCAGCCCATGTACACCAGGCTTAATGACAACTCAACCATCGTGCTCTGCCTTCTTTGCACTGCAAGCGTTAGTTTTTCAGAATTCACTTCATCACGGTTCATAACAGACAAAGCATGGTATGCATCTAGCACAGAAGGAACAAACTGTGAGTGAATTCAGTACATAACCTACTCAGTGGGAGCGTGAACTGATAAGAGTGTACCTTAGTTCTTACTTTACAACCTTTGTAAGCCTCTGTAGATAATGCACAATTTAAATGTTTTATTATAAGAGTGTTCTATCATCGAATAAAAGACCATTACCTGCTGCGAGCCGAGTGATATCACTTCCTCAACTGTAGGTATTTTTATCTATGTTATCAGATTAGGGCGTTTGAACTCTCCTCTCCGAAAACGGTTATTTCGTAGCTGGCGACGTGTAATGGCTTAATTGCTGAATAAATTACATAATCTCACATATTTTCAATGTATGAATTATCATGATTACATTTGTCGCGATTAGAATCCTTGTTTAAACCCTTGCTTCGCTTGCTCATCACTCTATAGCTGAAACACGATAGATACTAAAAATTATGTTTTATCGACGAAGAACAGGAAAAATTACAGATTTAAACTCAATTTCTTTCGATAAATGTACATTTCGATAATATTTCGATTTGTAATGAAATCTCAGATAATTCGAACTATCACAGCTTCATTTTCAGGTTAATGTGACTTAACTAACAGTTCCATTTACATGGTAATATATTTTTTCAATAAATGAGGGAAATGAACAAATATACTACGAAAACCTTGATGTATGGAACGGAAATGCACAGCAAAAAAAAAACAACTGGTTGCACACTTTGTCTCTTCTACCGATACAAGAATTACGTTGACCTCAATTGTTACGTGTCAAACTCAATGGTTGTACACCGTCAGTAATTAGGATGCCAGATTAACCACCTTATTGCAGTAGCTTCGCCGGTACTTCCCACTGTAAGTCTGTATGACGGGAGCGTTACTCCGGGCCTCAAGTTTCGGGCAGCGCTTAATTGGAACTACGGATTGTAATATGAGAAGATTTAGCACATGAAATTCGCCGTCATGTCTTACTAACTTTTACATTGGCAGTCAAACTTCAAAGTGTCTAAACGTAACTTAGTGATAAATTATTAAGTCAAAACAATCTACTTCATAAATCATAATCACTTAAACGAAGCAGTAAATGCTGATAGCTGATGAACACTCGGGTAAGAATCGCCCGTAATTACACACGTGAGAGATGGCAGATCATTTCATATTGGTAAAATTAAGTAAACTATAAAAATTAATTATAGTGCTCACGTGTTTACTAGAATTCAGGGAAAGAAAAAGTTAGTCATATCGACGGTGTAACCAACGTCTGCTGTCGTGATCTTGCAAACGACCTCAGCCCCATTGGTTGAATTGTCCTACATGGTCTTCATGGCAGTTTGTGTCAACAAGGAGCTGAAATTTTTTAAGTATATTGCAACGGAAGTTAACAAATCCAATGCACTGCTTGGGTTGATCAGATGCTCCTACAACTACCTGGAAGCGGAAGCGATGAAGCAGTTGTTTGTTGCAGTCGTGCGCCCGAACCTAAAGTTTGGAAACGTTGTGTAGTCACCAAGACTGGAAAAGTACAAAAATGTGGTCCAGAGTGTTCAAAGACGTGCAATAAAGATAATTCCAAGCTTAAAGAGCAAGTCTTATGAAGAAAGATTGAAGATTATGAAGCTTCCCAGTCTCTGTTATCGACGTCTGCGTGGGGACCTCATTGAAGTATACAAGTATAACTCATGGTTTATACAAGGTCCCAGAAGGATTACTAGAGTTTGATACATGAACCAACACTAGGGTAACTGTAAATTAAAAAAAACTGCGTTACAACTCATTCACGTTACAACATTTCTTCTCGCTTCGAATCACCGACATGTGAAACAGCCTCCCCGATCACGTTGAGGCTCCGAGTATAAACGCGTTCAGGAACAAACTAGATAAAGCTAGGGAAAAATTTATGTTCAGACTTGAAATGCCTAGCACCACATCGAACCCGGTGGAAGACTAGTAGGTATTTGAAACTAGCGTTAGTCTTGAACAATTCCGGTCAAAGGAAAGGACATGTGCATGCTTCTGGATCTTCTGTGAACATGTCACGAAAAGTACAAGAATCGGCGACAGGCCACATCAGGCCTACTCTCTATTGCCGACATTACAATGTTACGGTATGCAATGTTACGAGTATCAAGTAGTCTTGACGTAGCTAGGCTATCTCTTTCTGTTTAGGGATCCTTGGTAAGAAATTTTGGCCTCGGCAGGCGGCGCGGTCTGGCGACCGGATATACAAATGTAATAAAATTTAGTTGAGGCCTCGGCCTGGACTTTATATAATGCACACTTTCTGGGCACTTGACTCCTTCCTGAGTCACAAATTCATTCACTGTACTTTCTTTAAATATCAAATTATTTGTGCCTATCACACTTTGCTATTGCTGATTCACTTCTTTGCCGAAGAAAAAAGATAATGTTGATTGTTATTGGCTCCTAGGGTCAAACAAACGCTTGGAAGTAGATATTCAATAAAAATTTTACCATTGCTGAGTATCAAAAATAATTATAGTTATATTAATACGTTTAATTATTATACTTTATTTCAATTATTAATATAATTATTATTATATTTGAACGTAAATATTCAATGCCCAGGCTAAAATTCAAAGCGTTTCGCCAATGATTATTTAGGCGCTAAAAACAATCTTTGGCCAGGGAGAATGTGCTGTCTCTTATACACATCTAGATGTGTATAAGAGACAGCACTCACCCTCTTTCCCACTCACCCTCTTCCCCACTCACCCTCTTCCCCACTCACCATCTTAATTAAGCCGAACATAAAGAAAAAGGCACGCAGCAAGAGTGTCCCAAGAGAGTACTACCAGCCTCTGCAGTCTACTCACTTGTTGAATGGCTTCGTGGTNGAATGTGATTAACTGTTCCCACCAAAAATTTTTCATTTTATGCCAATCGAAACGTGGCAGTCGTTCAGTCGAGTAGTTGAAACTTAAGCCTGGCAAGGTGCCACTTCTTTTTCTCTGATCAATTTATGTTAGGCAAATCTTCGAAATAATGGTGCTTAAGTTTATCATTTATGGTGATATATTGCGTGGAATATTTTATTCCGTGGTATTTCGTAAATCCAATAAGCAACACCTTGGCCAATACTACCTGGTCCACAGCTTATAGACGTCGTCAAGAAAACATCTTGATGAGAAATCTCAAGACGTCATTTCAGCATTATAAGAGAAGGTCAGAAGTTTCGAAAAAATGGAATTGGGAATGGAGGACAAGTTTTGTTCACATAATTAATTTCAGTCCACGACCCATGGTTTTGAGTGCTGGGTGATAGAATAAGGATTAATGGGACGCAAAATAGCGCACTAATCAATGCTTAAGTTTTAAATAGAAAAGTGCTCAAGTAAAGGCTATGATAAGCCACACTCGTGATAATAATTGTTAGGCAATATCGTCTTGATTAAATAGAAGATAGTAGTTAAATAAAGGCTATGATAAGTCACGATCGTGATAATAATTGTTAGGCAATATCGTCGTGATTAAATCTCTCAAGCAGTAGATATTACCAAGAATTGTTGCATCAAAATGTGATAGATTTCACACGGACGATCTCAAAAACTAGGATAGTAATATTCAAAGTAAGACTCACATGAACAGAGAGTTTTTACTCCCTAGGGTGAGTTAGGTATATAACTAGTGGAAACCGTCTGATCCAGATGACTTGTTGGGATTCAGGGAGACCAAGCGCTTGAGAACCTCCTCTTCATGTATCTCAAAACTAGTTAACTTAGAGCCCACTGGTCGCTCCTCAATTGCTGGAATACTGTTCGTCCTCATCTGTGAAGACGCCTCATTTGTGAAGACATATCACGAAAAGTACAAGAATCGGCGACAGGCCACATCAGGCCTACTCTTCAGCGCCGACATCACAATGTTATGTTATGTTATGTTACGAGTATCAATTAGTCTTGACGTATCTAGACTACCTCTTCCTGTTCAGGGATCCTCGGTAAGAAATTTTAGCCTCGGCAGGCGGCGCGGTCTGGCGACCGGATACATGTAATAAAATTTAGTTCAATGTAGATAATGCACAATTTAAATGTTTTATTATAAAAGTGTTGTATCATCGAATAAAAGACCATTACCTGCTGTGAGCCGAGTCCTCTACTG